CACATAAAATATATTAATGTTGAAAACTTGGTACTTTATAAAGAGTACGATCCAGTTTACATCAAAAAATTAAAAGAAGTATTCAACACAACTTAGTCACAAAAATCAAAATTCAACTTCATATCAAAGTAAATGTGACTGGCTTACATTTTGAGCTGCAAAATTATCAATTGAAGCACTTTTAATTGATAATTTTGCAATCCAAACATTTGAAAAATAATAGCTCAACCTTTATATATATATAAAAAAAAAAATACTTCAATTACCTTTTTTGTTCCTCTTGGTAAAGTTTCTCTTAAGACTTGTAACTCTTAAAATAATTGTCCCATCAATATCATAAACCATGTCATATTTTAGTAGATTTTTTTTTTTTTTGATAAGTAAGATTTTATTAAAAACGCTCAAAAGGGGAGCGAAGCCCAAAGAAACAAAAGGACACAAAAGGGCCAAAGGGCGCCTTAGACCTTCAAAGAGGCCAAGAAAATAATAATTTCCTCCATAGATCTATAATCTCTCCCTAAAACCCAACAAAAAAGAGTAGAAATAAGAGAGAACTTAAGCATAGAAACAGGCTTCTTTTTTCCGTCAAAATATCTCCTATTTCTCTCAAGCCAAATACACCACCAGATACAAAGCGGCGTAGCCCTCCAAGCGTCCTTATTGCCAGCCCCAACAGAGACGCCTCTCCAAGCCTCAATCAACCCTCTAGAGGAATAAGGCATGGCCCAATGGACCTCAAATAATCTAAGCATCAAATCCCAAGAATCTCTGGCCATGCTGCAATGTAAAAGGAGGTGATCAACAGACTCCTCATTACACAACACATGTAATAGTGATTGACCACCACCTGATTCCTCCTCCTCAGATTATCCTGGGTTACAAGATTAGTTTGGAAAATGTGACGAGTTAAATTTGATTGTTTGAACTGGACTTAACGGAGCTTGCCATGCATGTGACGAGTTAAATTTGATTGTTTGAATTGGACTTAACGGAGCTTGCCATGCATGCACATGAGCCCAAAAGTAATATAATAATAAAATAAACCAGTTTCTAAGTTTAAAAGTAAAAAATTCTTTTTTTTTTTTTTTTTTTTGAAGAGAGGCGATAAAAACAAATTATTGTTACCATAAAAATTATTGTATAACATATATAAATTGATATTATAAGTACGTGTGTATTGCCATAATTTTTTTTATTATTATTTATAGTCATAAATTTACTTAATATATGATGCGTACAAATGTATACCACTTTAAATTACCACTTATAACAATAGCACACATATATATATATCAATGTAGAATAGGGCTATTATAAGGGTTTGTCAAACCACAAGGAATGCTAGCTTATGGCAATCAAGATTGTAAGATTAATTCCTGATTTGGTTTGTGAAATATAGTTGATGGATTGTTTTGTTTGTCACATACATAAACTGAATTTAACTGAAATTACTAAAACAGAATTTTGATTGCAAATAAATGAGATAATAAAGATAAGGGCTAGGGAAATGACTTCACCACAAGCCTTGTAAACATGCCTAATTGCAATTAACTTGGGGAACAACTTACACATGTAACCATGATATGTAGAAATTCAAGACAACTACAACATCTTCCAGAAAATCATACATTTCAGGACTAAGCATAACCCATCTTTGGTTGGCATGGTTCATCCACCTAAACTAGGTTGTGGTATGAACAATCTTCCCTAGGCATGGCCTATCAAGGTCCTTCAATTGTATGTTGCAGCATATGAAATTCAATTATCTATCATAAATTATCTTCAGTTGGTATGGACCATCTACCTAACTAAATTAATCTAAAGGTGTAACACGGTCCATCTTCCTTAAGTATAACTTATATAAATTCTCAATTAACATGCCAATATAACCATTGTATAATCTCATCCTTATTGTTACTCTAAGAATGTAAGTAGCATAATCATGAAGAAATAATTTCTAAGACAAGATAAGAGTCTCAACAAGATTATATATAGAATGAAGCACAAATACATCAAAGTGTAATCTTTAGATTATACAACTTGTCACAAATATGCAAAGTTTCCCAAATTTAGATACAATCAAGACATAATTACTTGGCAAGGGTTACATCAAATCCCTAGGAAGGGAGTTAGCCTCTCATGTGTAAGGTGTAAGCCTCCATTGATGATGAAGACTCCATCTCCATGAGCTTAGAATTCTACCCCCTTCTTCTTCCTCTCCCTTTCTCAATATTTCTCTCTCTATCTTTTACCAAGTCAAACTTAAAGATAGATAATGATGGGTGGTTGATATATAAACTGAAAATGCCTTCCAAAGAGATCATATTTCGTAACCTTTCAAATTCTAAGAGAGTTGGAGACATCCCTAAAATTAAGGAAACAAACTTTGACTAAATCAAAGTGTGACAGCTCAACATGTTGGCAGAATTAGCATGTTATTCTTCTGGATTTTCGACCTATCAATTGTCCAAATTAGACTTTCCTCTAAAAATAGAAATTATAGTGCTATGGGTTAGCTTTCCAAATCATTAAACCATTTAGCAATTGGATTTATAACCCGAGAAATATGGTCAAAATACCACAGGAGTGCAAAGCTGAGTTCTGCCACCTGGCAGCATGTTGGCGTCCTCTTGCTCTCTATTTTTGACATTTGAAACGTGGAAATTAGACTTCCATTAAAACATACCAAACACAGAACTCTGAGTTCTCTTTCCACAGAATCAAACGGTTCGTTATGGCCTTTTTACCGAAGGTGCGCAAAGCTGACGACAACTCTCGTCGGGACACGAGAACTCGCGTCGGGATGCGAAGTGCTTTTCTTCTGCAATGCTGACTGTATCCATTGCCTGTTTGGGTCATTTCTTCTTGAAAACCACTTGATGTTTAGGCCCGATATGACTTGTGCTCCAAAAGCCCTTAAAACCTTATTTTTATTCCTTTTTCGCAATTAGACTTGCAAAAACACAAAAATGAAGTTAATCTATATACACAGATCAAATAATGGGCTTAACTAATGCAATTAAGGGCACTTAAATATGCAATATTTGACGCTTATCAATATATAAGTATATATTGTCTTTTAATTATAGAAATTATGGCATGAATGTCAATCATATACTTCTATATTTGCACTATGGTCCTAAATTTGAGGCCCTAGGCGACCGCCTTGGCCGCCTTGCCCCAGGACCAGCTTTGCTAGGGATGAGAGCTTGGAAGAGATAATAGGGTACCCCAGATTTTTAATGGGAAGGTTCCCCACATCAAACAAAAACGATACAAGTGTGTGATACACACAACAACAGTAATATAAAAAAATGTAAATTGGCCATTGGTAAGCTCGTGGGTACAGTTGAATTGTTTGTTCAAGAATACAAAAGACTGTCTTTTGCATATAATGTAGACATATTTGTCTTGTTTTATGCTTTTGGTTGAATAAATATAATAATAAATCCATATTAAATGCACCACTAGCATGTTGTTCTCTTTAGAGGGTTAGGGGAGAGGCCTGAGATATAGCAGAAGATATGCAAAGCTCTTTTGAGGATGTTGGCAGAAGATAAGCCTCCATGAGCAAACAAGATAATATCATCAGCATGAATATAATATGTAGGTATTATAGTCTTGATAAAACTTGGTATTTGCCAAAAAGCAGTACACAAAAATAATATTTTAGAATATTATGGCAGGATTTGGACCGTTAAAAAATGAAAAATAAAATAGATAAAGAAAACATTATATGTTCGGGCAAATTGCATTCCTTCTATTTTTAACTGTTCCATATATATATATATATTTTTTGGTTTAAATCATGAGATGGAACTCATCAGATGTTTGAATCTCACATAGCAAGATGTAGTGAACAAATCAAAGTGTGCTTGTGCTTTTGTGTTTTGCTGCATCTGTTACATTTTGTATTACAATGACTCAAGTTTGTTGAACTGATATATTTTTCAATGAGATTTAAACACTATTGGGTTTCAAATAACCATGTTACCAAACTCACATTATCATATTCTGTTTAAAATTTTGTAGGATGTAGATTTTCTTATATCACAATCATATATGCATGAACTGATAGGATAGAGTTGGACTGGAGTGATAATCACGAGAAAAACCTATAGATATATATTTTTTTCAAACCAACAAAAAGGTTACCTAAGTTTAGAACCATGCATCTAAATTTTGTTACCCTCCATCTAAAATGGTGGTTTACTATTAATTGTGTTCGGTTTGTATTATGTCTCCTGCAAACAAAGATGGTTGTCTCTTACATTTTCCAGGTGTAGATGCTACTTTAACCTGCAAGTAGATAGGGCTAGAAAATGAACCATTTGGGAGATTAGAACTTTTTAAAAGACCATCCTGATTTATAAGCCAAATGGCCCTCGGATGGAGCTACCAGTTTCCAAACTTTAAGGGAGCAGCTGTTGTATCAATTTCCAACCATTAAATTCCTGTCCTGGTGCTTGTTTTCTGTTATCAATTTAAGTGCCTGTTAACTGCGGAAGGTAGAGGATTTAACATGCGCTTGTTGGGGAGAACTGATGCCTTGAGGATCGTTATTGTCCAAATCTTAGTTTCTCTAAGTGCAGGTTAACTGATGTTAGGTCTCTGGATTTTTGGATATAATATATTTATATAGATATATGTGTGTGTGTGTGTGTGTGTGTGTGTGTGTTATCATATTTCTAATTATTGATATGATAAGAGGCTAAAACAAATCTTCTTGTTTTTTTTTTATGTTCCCTATTTTATTGGCAATGTAGTTTAACTTGTTCTTGTTAATAATGATTGTTAAATTATAAAGGCTTTTTGAAGTTGACTGTCTTCCTTTTATTTCATTTTTGGTGTCTGGATTAAGGCAAATTCAGATTTTGTTTGATCTGTGGAGAGGCCTAGCTAATACTAAATCTGTTTTCTGATTAATTTATACAGATTATGAAATTGCGATGATGCATGATTTAGAGTTTTATGCCTTTCCCTCTCTGTTATATTATTAGGTTGGAAATAACAATCACATCTTCTGCTGGGCGTGCCAAAACCACTATTGTTACTTATGTAAAAAGATCGTGAGACGCAGTTCTAACCATTATGGCCCTAGGGGTTGCAAACAGCACACGGAGGGCTAGCTCGGGATACAACAAGCGTCTTTACTTAAATTGACAGGAAAGACGTGGTAATCGACATATACAGTGCTGGACAACAGAGGATTATTAGAGAGCGGCTGCGGTGGAGGTTATATACAATTTGAAGTCACCCCAATGCACCTACCAATGCAAGGCATTCAATGACAGTCTCACTTCACTGCTTTTATATAATCTTCTACAAAAAATTTCCCTCCCTAGCGATTGTACTATGCAGTTGAGTGTTGTCAAATATATTTTATTGTATTGCCAGGAAAAAAAAAAAAATTATATATATATATATATATATATGTGTGTGTGTGTGTGTGTGTGTGTGTCTTTGCTCAGCCTTGTGCCTGCAATTATAAAAATAGCTCTTTCACATTTCCAATACTAGTGCAATATCACATGGGCAAATAACTTTGCTGTACTTGGATAGGCTGGTAATTATGTTTTGAGGAAAACCTATATAGACCTGTTCTTCGACATAGCAGGGAAATGTTGACATTGTGAGTTTTGAGTCAGATGTATACGCTATGCAACACGTTTATTTCAAGGATGCAAAACTCATTGTACAGCATATTATATCAAGTTGAAACATAACAACATTATTAAATTGAAGATGCAGGTTTTTATTTTATTATTATTATTTTTTAATATATATATATATATATATATTTTTTATTGTTAATGTTGTGTGGTGTGGTGTTGCGTTCTTGATTTAATTGTCTAGGAAAATGTTAGAGCCAAAGTGTGTGAGTTCTTTTAACAACCTTTTATCAGATCTAAAGCCAACTATCTAGCCTCTTGTGTGTCTGTGTAATCACTCTTCCACCAACCATTACTGTTGCAAAGATCCGTCTTGTAAAAATGTCATCCAAGATTTTATTTGACATTGTACGAGTTATTTTGTATAGGCTAAATCAGGCAAATCATTTATATCGTTCCATCTCTACTCTGAAACGGATTTTTAATGGGTATACCATCTTGTCCCGCAGACAGACTACCAATTCTGCCCCACTCACTCAGTTCAATGGATGAAGTGAAAAAACAAAGGGTTTTGAACTTCAAAGAGTCCGTCAATGATATACAAAAAAAAAAAAAAAAAAAAAAAAAAAAAAAAAAAAAAATGGAAAAAAAAAAAATTCTAATAAGTGTTGAGAGGAATAAGCGAGACCCTAATTTGTCATTCATCCATTGGTGTGCCAAAAAACAAAAACCTATGACATGAAAATGATAAAAAAGAAGAAGATAAATAATATAAAAACCATATCTACATGCAATGATACCCTGCAACCATGAGAGCCAAACGAGATATAGAGAGAGGGGAAGAGAAAGAGAGTACCAAACTACAAATGATGAGTGAGGCTGAGTAGGGGAAGAGAAAGAGAGTACCAAACTACAAATGATGAGTGAGGATGAGTCGGGCTGCGTCGTGAGTCTTTCTTTCTTGTTCAGATTTTCGTCGAACGGAGTCACAGGCTCGTAACTTCAGATTTAGAGTGAAGGTGTGTCACGGATTCAGCTTCAAACAACAAACTCTTTTCTCTTTCTCAACTTTGTAAGTGATTTCGTCTCCAATACTCAAATAGAGACTAAATAGTTCTAAGCCTCAACTAGTGAAGAGTCAACTAAGCGAAGATTGAACCATAACACAATGAACGAAGGGTAACTTAGGAAATAAATATTAACAGTCACTTTTCCGCAATTAATGAGCCAAATCAACGGAGCTAGAGCTCTGCAAGTAATATCCGAGTTAAATTTAATCACTCAAAGTTAGGCAAGACATGAGCTCAAGTGCAATCGCAGAGTTTAATTGCAGCAATACAACTAAATTTAGTTTTGGGCTTCAAATGTATGTTAAATCCAAATAAAATTTTGGGCCACAAATCTTATGTATGTGTTCTGAATTCAACCCATTAAAAATTATTATTCGGTGCTCATGAACCATTGGTTAGCCCAGCACAACCTTCAGCCTTGAAAAACCTCTATATATTATTTTAATGTTCGCACAAAATATTAAATTTTTGTTTTCGCGCCTTCATACGACAACGTTCCGAGACGTCACCCGAGGAGATAAAGGGAGACAAGGTGCTCTCTCTCTCTCTATACACCCACTTTCTCTCTCCTCGGGTGAGAAAAGTTCCTGGTCAAGATTGCTACTTTTGAGTGCAAGTTTCTCAGAGAGAGACTGAGGTACCCATCCATCATTTTCATAGTTCCATACTTTTGGGTTTTTCAACAATTTAATAAGCCATATAATCTGTAATAGTATTTTGGGTATTCTTAATCTTAATCAATCAGTTGGTTCTCTGTTTCCTAAAACCATTTAATAAACGGAATCATTCCCATCTAAAACACTGTATTAAATGGGGTCCGGCGAGAACAAGTTCTGGAGAGTATTTTTATAATTATATTATACAAAGATAAACAATTAAACAAAATATCAATCATAGTAATAATTCATTTTATCTTATAGGATACAAATGAGATTGAAATTCTCAATTAAAATTTGAAATTTAATATTTTGTAAGGACATCAAAATAATATATAGAGATTTTTAAATAAAAATAATACAAAATGTTATCTAGTGATTGGAATAGGATAATTTAGAATTGCGTACACTCCATATCTAATTTATAATTTATTAATATATATAGGGTGAGGTGAGATGACCTTTCTTCATCTCTGTCTAACAAAAAAGTTAGTTTTTAATCTTAATATTCCTTTACATATCTAAAATTATTTAACCGCCCCCATAATTGTGCTAAATGGGGCGGGGCAAGACATTTACCTTATGGGTGTCCATAGGTCTACTTGTAGTTGCAGAGAGAAATTGGTTAATTAGGCTTTTTTTGGATTATAAGGATTAAAAAATAATTTTATTTACTTAAGAAACGAGGGTAACAAGGTACTTTCACATAAAAACTAGCGTAAATTTTTTAAAAATTCCATTTATTAGTAATTTAGAAAAACTTAGAGTAATTTATCCAAATTTAAATGATTTAAATAGCATATTAATTGAGAATTTAAAAGTGTAAGAATGCCATATTGTTTTCCAATATAAACTGGACTCTCTCAAACACTCCCTCCCAGAGTGTGCATTAATCCTCCGGCGGCTTAGACAGCAAACCCGAGCTCCCTTCCTTCTGTAACATCCAATTTTCTGCATCGTTTCCTCTCGACACATCTATCAGCCATGAGAACATGCAGAGGCAAACCTGTAAGACAAAACCACTCTCACCATGTCGATGAAAAGTGGACAGTTAAGCCTTTTCACGATCAAACCCAAGAAACACTCATCACAACCGAACAACCTAACCTCGAAACCCCATCGTCACTGACTTCCACTTCTCACCACAACAACGACGAAACCCTAAACACCGTACCCGTATCAGAAGTTGTCACCGAAACCCCCAAACCAGCTCCGAATCGCCGAAACTCGAAGTGGGTATCGCGGAATCGGCGTGCCCGTGTGGTCAAACCTCGGGTTGTCCAGGAATCTGAAATCGGTTATTCGAATGCTACCATAGAAGAGAAAGGTAGAGATGGGAATGCATTAACATTGACGATTGATCCAAATGGAGAGAGAACTGAATTGGGTTCTTGGAGTTCTCAAAGAGAAGATGATGTGCAGGAAGAAGAAGATGAGAAGGGTAGAGACCAGCATGTTTCAGCATCGAATAATGAATTGGATGGGGAGACAATTAAGGTGTCTGATTCAAGTAAGGATGTTGATAATATTGTGAGCAGGTTAGAAGAGTTGCAGTTGGGTGCAGAAGAACCAGAGTTGTCGGAGGAGCAGCTTAGAATCAAAGATCAGTTGCAGGAGGACGATATAACTCTAAAAATTTTAAGTGCTAAAGATATGTAACTTTAGTTTATTTGTCTTTCCATATCTAGAGATTGGCTCCATTTGTGATAACTTGATCTTGGAAGAAGATAGTTCGTTTATTATGATTACGTGTTCAAGAACAGTTCAATTGGCCAACAATTAGTATCAGAATTAGTTATTTCCTGTGAATCGCTACATTAGTTTAATAGAGCAAAACTTGATGTCTGTTGGCAGAATCTGTGTTGCCAATCTTGGATAAGTTGACTTCACTTGATATTTAGCTTTAGAATTCATTGTTAACATGAGAAGTTGGCAAAGGGAAACGTAGACAGGATAAGGGCGTCAAATATCTTACGATAATATGACTTGCAATTCTCTAACGGATTGAACATGTATGTTCGGATAATATGTACTAAAAAGTGAAATTAGTGAATAGTGACTGAACTTTTTGATTGATGAACTGAAACCTTGAGCCACTCCTCTCTTCTAGGTGTCATGCTGAATTAGTGAATAAGTTTTAAAGGACTTGCCGAAAATATATTGAAAGGAAATTAAAAGACTAAAACTAGGTATTCTGAGACTAGAAGAGGCCGGAGTTGCGAGATCAACAAAGGAATGTAATACTATAGTGGAAGCATTGAAGCTTATTCAAAGACCATTGTTCTACATTTCATTTATGGGCTTAAAAGAAGATCTTGTGGTGAACGGATCAGAAAGGATGTGACTTAATAGTCACTTTAAAAGAAATGGATTCCTAACATTCACAAGGTAAACAACTTGGATTGATCTGTAGCGATGCTCAGAAAGAATGCTAACACAATAGCAAGTGAAGCAAAGCATCTGTGGTGAGTGATCAATTACTCTGGTTCAACAGAAGGCAAGAAGAATTACAAGGATTCTTTATGAGGGACATGATATCAAAAATCCCATTTCATGTTAAAGAGATTTTTGGCAAGTTATTCAAGTTAAATGGATGAAAGTGATGATTGTAGGACCTTGGGTAGGGACCTAGGAAGCATGGATAGGGACACGGACACGGTGATACAGCAAATCTAGAAAAAATAGGACACGGATATGGCAAGGATACCTCAAAAATAATAATATAATATATTATTGCATATTGAACAATAATGTTTTTTTTTCCCTATTTTATTTATGTAATCATGAATAAAATCACTAATTTAGAGCTTTTGTTATTTTTGTTTTCAAAAAAATTATATTATTTTTTTAATTAACCATAATATATTTTAAATTGCATTGAATCCCATTCTTCTAAGAAAAATAATTACAAAACCACTCTGTTGTGTACTGAAAGTGTTCCAAACATGTCTTGTCATATTGTCATGTCCAACCAGAAGATAAAATATTCAAATTTCAAGACTATTCTAGTTGTATCTGACTTGTGTTCGGGTGTGTCCATCGTGTGTTCGCATGTCCGATACAGCCGCGACATCCCTAAGAGAAGTGTCCGTGCTTCCTAGGTAGAGACTATTCTTGGTTAAAACATAAAATGTCTTGGGAGTTTAGTCTTCCAAGATCTTCTGCTTTATGTCGCTTTACCTAGTACGGTGTATAATTTTGTGGCAAAATATATAATGATGAAGAACTCGTCACTTGGTCATTACTGAGTGACACGAAAAATTATATGACACTGATTACATAGATGATTTTATGGATATTAAGAAAGGGAAGGAGGAACATGTACACATATTGATATTATTAAGGGAATCTGTGAAGAAACAACACTTGGTGAGAGAATGATTGGTGGAGCATACAGCTAAGGAAGATGAACACGAATTACAATCTTTGTCTGCTACACTCTGAACATCTGAAGGGATACAATGTAAAATTTGTCAGTATCTTCACAAGCACCCATAAGCTTTGCAACTTCACTAGCCACTATATACGCCTTGCTACGAGCATAGCTAACAGAGGCAGAATGGCACTCCTCTAACAGCAGACAAACATCATAAATGACGTTTTGAATCTCAGTTGGACCACTGCTTTTTCTTGAAGCTGCATTTCCAATTAACAAATTCACCTTTGAAGCATATATTCTGAAAACCCTACTCCAAAGCAACAGAAACAAGCTTTCTCAGAGAGTTTGCTTCAGCCACAGAAATAGAAGTTTTGCTCAGCTTAATTTATTAGTGTTATATTCAGGTTAGTTTGGGCTTCTTGATCTACATTGCAATGATAGCTATCTTTATCCTTTAAGGGCTTTGAACCTTTGTACTTGGATACCACAATGATTCCTTGCTATAGAAGGGAGAAATCTTGGAAGGTCAGAAGCCATCTCAAACTTCAACCAAAATTAAACTGATGACATCTCTCATTATCAAAGAGAGGGTAAAATGAGAAACAACGAAGTGAAATCCTACTATCATCAATATATGTCTAACATTCCAGAAAGTTAAAATCCTTGGATTGATTGATCCATGAACATAGTCAACATACCATGCTGTTAGGCCGTTCATTTTTTCAATTCATTATTTACTTCTATATTTTTGGGGAGGGAGATGGAGGGATAGTGTTTGATATAGTTTGGAGGGTAAATATATAATATATATATATATATATATATATGTTGTTATTGTTGTTCTGGATATATAGGTTTTGCTCTAAGGAACCTGGAAAGTTGTGGTATTGGCTTTCATTATCAACCAATGATAAGTGTTACATACATAGAATTTATGGAATAACTGGTGAAAACAATATTTTTGACAATGAAGCAGAAGTTAATCTTTAGAGGGTTGTCTGGAAATCCAAAAGTGGTTAAGGCATGGTCCCATGACAGTTTTACCTGGTTTTCAAGAAAACCAACATTGATTTGGTTTAGGAAAATATTTTTTTGCCCTATTTTATTTTAAGTAAATTCCTTTAGCATGCACAAATCAACAGAATACCTGTCAGATCCTCAGCTGATGTATCACTTGGGCTTCCCGAATGGCCCCTTAATGACAATTCTCGTCGATTACTCATGGGTTAATGACCTGAGCTTCGATTGAGCGCAGCCTGACTTTGCTCAGGCTCGTTAAGCTAGGAACCTGAACTCTAGAATTGATCTTAAATCTTTACTAGCTAACTTTGAGAAAATAGTTGAGGTACTTTATTTTGTTACACAGGTAGAGAAATTAGTTTATTGTCAATGTTGGCTCGTGTGACTGAACTTGATTCCATCTTTTTCCTAGTTGATATGAATTGCCTGCATAAATGATTAGGCTTTATTATCTTTCTATCTGCAAACAATGTACTTTGATTAATGACGTTATGGAGTTTAAGTTAAAAACTTGCATAATGATGGTTATAAATGTAAATGCTTGGAAATATTAGTGAGAGAAAAGATTATTTGGAGCTTGTAAGAATGTGCATACATGCGAAGTGTTCAACGATGTTGTTGATACCCAAAAGAGGAAAAGCTCGTTATCTTAAATCTATTTGAGATGGGGACAAAATATAAAGAATGTGAGCTGGGGAAGAGGTTAAGAAAAATGTTGGTGTTGAATGATGAAGCTATTTTGTAAGTGTTGGTTACATTAAAAAGTTATATTTGGCCGAGTTACCAAATTAAGTTAATAGCCAATCTCTTGGGTGACAGGAAGGAGATGTATGTAATTGGCATTGGAAAAAAAGATGACCACATTCCTATTGTGGACTTGAAGGAAGAGAAGGGATACATTAAAAATGGACTTACAATTGAAACCGTTGGAATCTCTTAATGGGTGATAAAATTTGGGAGGATTTGTTGAGATGTCAATGATGATGGATACTGGCAGCAAGGACAAACCTGCAAGTACGAAATCTAGCAGCAAGTATCACTCTAAATGGAGTATATTGGTAGAACATCATGTGCAGCCAGATGTAAATAGATGATGCTTGGAGGAGGATGCTGGAGTTTTCAATGATCTAGGTGTTTGGTTTGGCTGTTTGAGTGGACTAAACTTCATCATAACACTTTCTTTGAGAGATTTATGTGAAACTTAAGAATTGAGATTGCCCTGGACTTGGCAGATGTTGCATGCATGTTTAAAGTAATATTACTGCATAAGACCTACCCCATATGTGTTTGGGCACACTTATGAAGTTTGTGGGGGTCATGATTTTTATGTGATTGATCACATATTTAGTTGACTTAATCATCAAATTAATCCTAAAGGACCTGAGTGGAATGGTTATAACCCTCCCGCCCCCAAAACAAAAATAAATAAATAAATGAAGAAAAAGAAAGGGTACGAGAATAACTAGGAAAAAAGAGAGGTAGGAGAATGTTTATGTTATTAGCACTGCTTATGTAGGTTCGGCTTCATAAGTAGATCTTTTTATGGCTGGGGCTGTGCCACCTTATAATATCAGGGACCTCGAGCACAAAATAACAGATCAACTTCGACACATACACCAGAGAACTTCTGTTACCAAAAATGCAAGGCTGAGGAGCATTAAAAGTTTGATGGAAAAAAAAAAAATTATCATCGATTAAAACTAAAACCAAGAGATCAATCTGAGAGAAACTTATAATCAGAGAAAAAGACTTTTTTTTCCCTTTTTAATATTAAAGAGTCTGAACTTTAGAGAGGCATTGATGGTGAAATCTTTCACCTATTTACAGTTCCTGAATATTAAATCCAACATTGTTTTGTAGAAGACAGGTATCTTAGAAAAACAAGGAAGCACTTCCTCTCTAAGTTTTTTCTTTTTTTTCTTTCTTTCTTTTTTCTCTCTCCAACAGAAGTGTGGCATTAAAATACTAACCATTATGCTACTATCACGACTTTTAGTTTTTGAATCCTTTTGACCTTGGCTTTTTCAACAGTGAACAAAAGCCTTATACTTCGAGTTTTTTTTTCCCACTGGAAATTATACTGGGTCTTTGACAATGTATAGGTACATATACTTTGACTTCATATATATACATATATTACTAATATGTTTGTATATATATGTAATTTAAAATCTACCAAAAAAATTTAGCATCAATACTCTGACCTCCCCTATAGTTTAGCAAAATTATAGACTTCCCCTTGTATTAAAAAATTACACTCACTTACCCTTGAGGTTATGGTTTTGGAGCACTTCCCCCCTTCTGTTAACAGTCAACTGATCAAAGTAAAAAGTTGCTTATGCCGTCAATTTTTTTGTTTAGAGTGCCATTTTTCCCTTTGAAATGTGTGTAAAGATAATATCATCCCTATTGATTGAAGTAAGAGGACATAAATACGAAGATGCCCTAATTGAATTTGATCACAACTTGCATTTTTTTAGTATACCAAGCTATATTTGCTTAGGTTGGAGATGTATAAACACACACACACATATTGTGAGCGTGTTTATATATATACACACACGCAAAAACATACATATACTAGTATGCCACCATTCTCTTTTTCCTACTTTTCTGCAACAATTTCTAATCCACCACCACCCTTAATCACCTTTAGCATTTTCTCTCTACCAAGTACCAACACCATATTTTTTCAATAGTCTTATACTAGTGATCATACTGTTAATTTGAAATGTCTGATTTACACCTTGTGATGATTTTAGCTTTTGCTTTTTGTATGGATAAAATTTGGCAAGATATTGTGGAGAAATTGCTCATCCCCAATCTGTTTAATTCTCTGTACGAAGGTTTCTGAGCCTTCTCATTTGGAAGCTCAATTTTAATGCATCGAAAGGGATACTCATGTTTGACTGCTATGTTCAGCAACTCTGAAATCACGAAGTATAAGACAGTGAAAGCATCACCCGGTAGAAATATTATATGAAGAATTTGACAATGTATCCAACAAGCAAGAGTCCACAATATGTGATTGACTAACCAATATCTAAGACACGCAAGAGAAATAGTTTTATGGTTGTCCATAAGTGAACAAAAAATGGACTACTATCTTTGTTTGCTGATAGAGTTAAAGCCAAATTAAGAACAAAACAGTGGTCAGTCTTCTTCCCAGTGGGAAACATTCTTGTAAAGGCATAGTGCACCACATAACTCAGTCATCTTCCTCATTACTGTCTTTGGTGGTGGTGGTGGTGAATTTGAGTTTGTGAATTGGAACTGGGGAAAAATTAGGGTTAGGTGGGGTTAGCATGGGCTGAGTGGGAGTGTGCTTGAAGTCGCCATGGCTTCCAATCTCATCAACCTATTCATTCACGAACGGGTTGATGGAGGCTTGGATGGGAGAAGAAAAAGAGGAGGTGGTTATAAGAGAGAAATGAAGAGGTGGTGGTGGTGATGTTGGGAGGATATGTTGGGTTTAGGAAGATGTGGATAGAGAGGGCAGAGAGTTGCTGAACGGTACTAAGGGCAAAATGGTCTTTACACTCAATATTGGTGGTCCATTTTCCTATTTTATTGATGATCAATAACAAATTAAGTTATATGTGAGGGCAAAATAGTAAAATCAAAATTTCCGTTTACACTGTCCAACGACAAGGTTTGGTAGGAGAAGTCACAGTAATTTTTGTGTACGTAAGGAAGGACTCTAATTTGGCTTAATTAGTGGGAGTACTTGTACCTGTTACATGTAGAGTTCTTGTAAGTTACCCAAAAATTTATATTTATACTTGTACCAGTTTCTTAGATACTTCATACACCTTTTTTGTGAAAGTCGTGGACCAAACATGACCACCAGTCACATTTTTTTTTTCCATCATGGATAATGTACTTCAAAATATTTACATATAAAACGAAACTAATTCTGTTATATATTTCATAACTATTATAGGACTCTCAACTTAATAGGAGCCTCTATGTAAAGGCATCCTAAAATAAACTCTAAAGTACAAATATGAGGTAGCCTTGGTGTTTAGAAAGTTACCTACATTCTTTATACATGCTCATGGATTACTTGTGATGTACGGCATTCGATTATTATCAAATAGTGGGTTAATTGCTTTATCATTGACTAGTGAGGGACAGTAACCATTATCTTGGGATTATTGGGGTGATTCACATCATATCAAAAACAAAGGGTTGCGAATGTGATAGCTAGTCATTATGTTTAATTGTTAGCAAGGAATTTTTACCTTCGCTATCTCAGATAATAAAATACTTGAAAAGCTAAATTAGTAAGCTTATCAGAGTTGTTCCATGTCCATCATTATCATTTATACTTGTAAGTAAATGCTTGGCATCATTAGAAGATGCCTTTATGATGTGCTTCAACTGTTGAACAACTTAACTCATTTATTTATTTATTTTTCTTTCACAACAAAGTTCATTGATAATTTGATAGATTACCTTATTTAGGGAACCCATGCAGTTTCATGGAGTAATTTATGTTTTTGATCATTCATTGAAACTTAAATTTCATGTCTGGTTGAAATCAAATCATAGAATAACATTTTGTCATCTTCTTTAAAATATTTGTTGAATCAAAATATTGTATGAGAAAAGTTGATACATCAAAAGCCAAAGGTCAAAGTATTTCTTGGAATTTACTTGTCTAAAAGATAGATGAACCATGATGGATCTCTTGCTTTTCCCCTCATTTTTACTTGCAGTTACTTGCTATGGAGTCCATATATGGAGCCAATGCCTTTATTCTCAACAGACAGGGAGGACTACGATCTTTTCAGGTTTAGTAACCATTGAACAAACTCCCTATCGTGTGTAAGGAAGTCATTAGTCTAACATCTACAATGTCGTTTTGCAGATTCATATACACATTGAAGATCCACAGGAACTTACTATCTCTGCAAAGCTAAATTCATCTAGTGATCTTGAGACAAAAAGTGATGGTTCGGCTGAGTTCTCATACTCTTTCAAAGTCCAGTACCTTACTCCAATTGTGCTGACATGTTTATTACCTAAATCATACCCGAGTCATATCCCTCCTCATTTTATAATTTCCGTTCAGTGGCTGAATCATGTTAAGATTTCCAGTCTTCGCTCCATGTTGGATTCGATTTGGATGGACCAAACAGGGCAGGAAGTTATATACCAATGGGTGGAATGGCTACATAGTTCGTCTCTTTCTTATCTCAGTTTCAATAAAGAATTAATTCTTGGTCCATGTGGGGTGAGATATAGTGGAGATAGGCGTGCAGTTTCAGGAAGCATATCCCCAGATGTTGACATTCCTTTAATGAAGAGTTACAACGATGAGCAGCTCCTTGCAAACTTTGGCAAGAATTGGCATGAATGTTGCATATGCTTTAGTGAGTATGCAGGTATTTTTCAACTTTTTCCTGACAGAATTTATTCTATAAAATATGCTGGTAATTGTGCCGAAAAGGGAAAGTGTTGATGAAGTTCTTTAATTTACCAAGCATTTCTTATATATATATTTTTGGATAATGCGGTCTTTTTAAATGTGATACGTTAAGGGTAAATCACTCTGACATCACAACCTCAAGAGATCAGTTATAATGTCAGAAACTTTAGGAGCCATTACCTTTTACCAAATAAGTATGTAGATCATATGAAGCAAGTTTTGGAAATAGTTTCGCAAGGTTTAGTATGATCCGTATCCTACCAGTGGTATCAAAGCTGTTTTACAATTATATTTTCAGTACATGCTTCTACTTTGATTAACAGGGAAAATCTTGGATAGAGCCAAAGGTCATGTGTTCAAATTGGCATAATTCTAGTGACACATTTATTTTATAGCAAACTTTCAATTACTGCCAACAAGATTATGACTGTTCTATGAACTAATGCCTTTTGTTTATTTCACAATATTTATATAATGTTTCAAACATGATAGCCTTCTCACAATCAGTATGACCCGTTTTGATTCGAAATCTTTTTCTTGCTATAATTTCTATCTGTTTTCTAATTATCATTTTTTCCCTTACCAGGGACAGAATTCATTAGATTGCCATGCCAACACTTCTTCTGTTGGAAATGCATGAAAACTTACTCTGGTATGCATGTAAAGGAGGGGACAATAAGCAAGCTTCAGTGTCCTGATGCAAAATGTGGGGGTATGGTTCCACCTGGTGTATTGAAACAATTGCTTGGTGATGAGGAATTTGAACGTTGGGAGTTGTTAATGTTACAGAAAACACTCGAGTCAATGTCTGATGTAACCTATTGCCCGAGATGTGAAACAGCCTGCATAGAAGATGGAGAGCAACATGCACAATGCTCAAAGTGCTACTATAGCTTTTGTACGCTTTGCAGGGAGCGACGTCATGTAGGAATTGCATGTATAACACCAGAACTGAAGCTTCGTATCTTGCAGGTAAAATTTGTACTCTCGCCCCACTTCTTCCATTACTTTATTGTGGTTTTTGGTTGCCTTAAGTGGAGGGGCGGGCTTGTTATTTAACCAATAGCAGGATAGTGTTGTAATTTTACTATGATAATATGATAGCGGTTCAGTCTATTTAGAGCCACGTTTTTGTATGAGCTTTCAGATTATTCTTACTAGTTCATGCTGTTTCCCAACCTCTTCTTAGTGTTTTTACAACCTTCTCCCTGTAAAAAGGCCATTTCTCAGTGTTGATTATATCTGTTCAGGGTGGTGGGAGTGTAATCTGGGTTTAGACTTAATTTTTCGCTGGCTTTGCACAAAACAATTGTCTTCAACTATGATACTACTTTCTCATGCTTGGCAGCCTAAAGTTTTACCATTGAACCAATCAAAGACCTTGTATTCTTCTTCCTTATTAAAGAAAAAATTCCGGATTTCCCGTAAAATTAAAATTTTGAATTTTCTGCAGGAACGACAGAATTCATCTCAATTGGAGGATAAACAAAAGCATCGTGAGCGCGAAATGATGAACGATATTCTTAGCGTCAGGGAAATACTTGGTTTTGCTAAGCAATGTCCATCTTGTAAGATGGCTATCTCACGAACTTTTGGTTGCAACGAGATGGCATGCGAAAATTGTGGGCAGACATTCTGCTACCGCTGTAATAAGGCGATTGGTGTTGGTCGAAATGGTCGAAATGATCACTTCAAGTTTGTTGTCAATTCTCACATGTTGATCAAAAATTCTTTTGATAGTGTGATTTCACATTTATTATTTGTTAGCTAAAACTAATTAATTTGTTCTGATCAAAGGGGTGGGGGCTGTGAGCAGTTCTCACAGGCAACGTTTCTGCATTGGGGAGAGGGAATTAATCTCCGCCATGTGATAGGCCAGGTGCTAGGTCGGAATCATGCTGAACTTGTTGCTGATCGTGGTCATTCATGCCCTAATTGTGGTCAAGTTAATGTAAAGGTGAGTAAAGTTCCAGTTGATTATTAGGAAATCTGTGGTAATTTTTTTTTTTATTTTTTTACTTTTTTTTTATTTTTTATTTTATTTGAAACACACAGACTCACTTGCCCATGCGGGGACTTGAACTCTAAGCCTTCTACTTTGGAAGGCGAGGAAGTACCACTAGGCTACAACCCTTTGTGGTAATTTAGTTACACTAGAATTCTTTGGTAATTTAGTTATAATAGAAGGTTATGCTAGAATTTACTCCTTGAGTGTAGGGTGTTTACCATGAGTATAATATGGTTTTTTTTTCCCGATAAGGTAATTTTGTAGTATTGAGAGAAATAGAGAACTGTACCTCAGGTTAGAACCCTACACAGAGCCCAAAGGCAGCAAAAAGACAGCCTGGGCTGCACTATACAAGAAGATAACAAGAAAACCACCCAACCGAATCAGTGGGCCAACAAGACATTCAGCAAAAAAAATGTCAGAGGATGGAAACTGATCCAGCAAGGCTAACCAACACAAGGAGAGGACCTTCAATCAGCATCCTAACAAAGGATAGGAACATGCAAAAGGAAAAAAAAATGCAACGGCAAAAGTCTTGCTGGAATCACCAGATTCTCTTACTGTGAACAACAACCTGTTATTCATTTTGACCAGAGTTTCTGGATGTAATAATACATGGAGGGAGGTTCCACTCGGCAGCTAAATTCCTAGCTGCCAATGAATCTTTGAACTTTAGGCTACAGAATCTGCATCTGATGTAATCTCTAATCTTCTCTTCAAGATTTTGAGCTGAACAACTCTCTCCTTCAAAAGCTCTGGCATTTCTGTCTCTCCATAAGCAGTAGATGGTACAAGCAAAGGTGATTTTGTTGACAGTAGCAAGGGCTTCCCAGCAGCACCCTAGTGATAGGCAATCCAATCAATGAGAGGGTTCTAATTAGGAGGGTTAATGTATGTTCTACAACCATATTGACAAAAGCTCCAAATCTGAACATGGAAACTAAAAAAAAAAAAATGGATTGTTGATAGATTCAGCTATAGAGTTGCAAAGAAATTAGTGGTTGAGGAAATGCATAAAGGCCAGAGAGCCATAGAGGGTTCATCTAAAGTCTGAAGCTTGTTCCAAATAGATATCCATAAGATGAAGCTATGCCTTGGAACCGAGTGTTTGAACCACACAAGCTTAGATCAGGGAATTGTAGAAGCTGGAGGGGAGAAATGGATATGTCAATGATGAAAAGAAAAAATTATGGTTTGGGGAGGGAATCCACAGCACTTTCTCATCTGAAATAGGATCAAATCTGGGGAGCAAGGCATGGTTAGTGTGATGTTGTGGCCCGGAAAATGCAATCCCCACCCAAAAAAAGTTTTTAACTATTAGCAAATTCTGGCACCAGATTAGTTAATGTTGAAAGAAAAAATAAGTTGAAGAGAGAAATTAAAGCATGAAGAGCACAAGAATATAATGTGGTTCACCCATGAGGGTTTACATCCATGACACACAAAGCCCAAAGGGCTACATCTCTTTCATTACATTCTTTCTTGATTTTGTTTACAATAGCCACGTCTATTTATAGGTGAATTGGGGAAGACTTGTTGCTAGAGAATATAAATTTCTTGCTCTACAAGTATTTTATAATAAAAGAATTACACAGAAAGTCAAATAAAAATATGGCAACAACTTGTTGGCCCAGTATAGTAACGTTATTCTGTCAAGGAGTGATTTAAGGGCTTAAATCACTCCTATAATTATTCTCCGACACCCCCCCTCAAGTTGGTACATGGTAACTTAACTCAAGTGTCCAATTTGAAACAAAATATGAAGTTGTCGAGATTCTGAGACGAGTAAATTAGAGGTGAGTTGATCTGGAGATCCGAAACAAGTTGTTCAAAGATCGGAGACGACATGAGTTGATCCAGAGATCCAAGACGAGTTGATCCGAATATCCGAGACAAGTGGAGTATAGAGTAGGGTATGATAAACTTGCTCTGATACCATGTTGAAAGAAAAAAATAAAGTTGAAGAGATAAATTTGAACATGAACACAAGAATATAATGTGATTCAGTCATGAGGGCTTACATCCACGACACACAAAGCCCAAAGGGCTACATCTCTTTTATTACATTCTCTTTTGATTTTGTTTACAATAACCACCTCTATTTATAGGTGAATTGGGAAAGACTTATAACTAGAGAATAGAAATTTCTTGCTCTACAAGTATTTTATAATAAAAGAATTACACAAAAAGTCAAATAGAAATATGGCAACAACTTGTTGCCCAAGTATGGCAACGTTAACATTTTGTCGAGGAGTGATTTAAGGGCTTAAATCACTCCTATAATTATTCTCCAACGGTGAACAATTGGGGGATATGCCACTAATTATGCCTAATCAAAATGCCAACTTTGGCATACAGGTCAAGGCCAGAGCTAGATATGTCATCTCTTGAAACTTTGAGCATCAATGGACCCAATTGATGTCAGTTGTCGAACCATAGAGAGGTATTAGTACCATTTCCAATAGCATGCCTCAAAAGAGGCCTAGCCATGTCCAAAGGCTGAGAAGTTCCCTCTATACTCAAGAATTGAGTGTCCGAGGCTTTAAATCCCCGAAACTTTTCCTTATAATTAGGTAGAGTCTAATCCAATTATACCATAAATTTCAAAGATTGAAGATATGCCATATATGCTTGATGTATGTAACTTTGTTTATGAGTTCCAAATCTGGAAGGCCCAACCTCCCTGTCATTTAGGCCTACAAACAACATCCCTTGAAACTTTGGTTCCTTTGCCTTTTAAGTTTGGGTAACTCACATTGCCTTGGGGGGAGTAGTTCTATGTGTGGGTGCCTCCTAACTGTTTGCACAAGTTATGAAAATCGCGAGCACGTTGTATGTGCAAAGTGAACACTATTTACCCAATGTGGGGTGGGCCTTGACAGATGGTATCAGAGCCAATCTAATGCAATTAGCTTATGAAAGAGAGAATTAAATTACTAAGAAGGGAAAACAAAGAGCAAGATTAAGCTAACGAATAGCTTAAACATCCACAACTCAATCCCAAAGAAAGTGAGAAATAAAAAGCTGCTGTAGCAAGCTGATATTATTGATAAAACGTGAAAAAACTACTCATTACAACTAGCAAAGATATAATCCTAGCCCTTCAAATAAATGTAATCTAAAGGCTAGTATTCTTTCCAGCAGAATAAAGAGCTAAAAATTACAAAACAGACCTTAAACAGTCACACGACTGGCACATGACTTATAAAATAAAATCAAATGACAATAATATCCTAAGCATGAAATAAAACAGATTAAAGACTTATAAATGACTCAAGACTAAAAACAATCACATAATTGGACTCGTCATCAGCTAGACTATTTATGGAAACTCGGTCTATTTATGGAAACTCGGTCGCGTCTTCTTTGAGTGTTCAACTATTTGAAAATACTCTTCTTCCACTTGCTTTGCATCAGTCCCTCCAGGTGAGAGAAAACTCAACCTCAAGTTAACATCATCCTCACTCGGAGAGTCACCTTGATAAGGAATCAAATGACAAACATTGAACACATTGGATGTCTTGATGTGGCTGGGAAGCTTCAACCTGTATGCATTGTCGTTAATCCAGTACTTCACACGGTCCAATCTTCCTTGCACTCAGCTTGTTGTACTTGCCAGCCGGATATCGATCTCGGTCAAAACAGCGCATACATAATCTCCCACATCAAAGATCACACTTCTTCTACCCTTGTTGACATGTTCTTTATACCTGTGATTGCTCTCCTCAATTTGTTGCCGCACTTTGTTATTAATTTCTTTGATTTGGTCTACCAATTCTTCAGCTTTTGAACTCACACGACCCATTATTGGAAGTGGAACCAGATCTAAAACACTGTTCGGATTCTGCCCATAAACAATCTCAAAAGGACTCATCTTAGTTGTTCGATTTCTGGACCTGTTAAAAGCAAATTCTGCATGAGAAAGAACTTAATCCCACTGTTTCAAATTATTCCCAAAGTGACTTCAAATCAGATTTCCCAAACTTCTGTTAACAACTTCAGTTTGCCCATCGGTTTGAGGATGATAGGCTGAACTAAAGTTCAAATCAGACCCCAATTTCTTCCAAAGAGTCCTCCAAAAATGGCTGATAAACTTCTTATCTCGACCAGAAGTGATGGACTTTGGCACACCATGTAAACGAACAATTTCTTTGAAGTACAAATTAGCAATTTGAGAAGCATCTATAGTTTTCCTGCATGGTATGAATTGTGCCATTTTAGAAAATCTATCAACAACAAAGACAAAATCCATACCCCTTTGTGTTCGAGGAAGTCCCAGCACAAAATCCATGCTGACGTCTGTCCATGGAGAAGTCGGAACAGAGGCATATATAAACCAGCATTAGTTGTTCCACCTTTTGACACTAGACAAATTTGGCAGTGATCAACAAGCCTATTGACATCCTTTTGTAACTTTGGCCAAGAGTATTTTGCATTAACCAAAGCATAAGTTTTATCTCTGCCGAGGTGTCCCTCATTATGTAGCTGAAGAAGGATTTTCTCTCTTAAGGAACAATTAGGAATGCACAATTTTGCTCCTTTAAAGAGAGAACCAGATTGCAAGCTGCCTTCCACTACGTCTTCGTGAATCCTTTCAAAGAATGGATCAACAACATACAGATCCTTGAAATTTTCAAAACCCATAACCCGAACTTGCTAAATGAGATCTTCGACTTAAAGCATCAGCCACCTTATTCTGGACACTTGACTTATGCTTCAAAGTGAAAGTGAATTGTTGCAATTATGCGGCCCATTTGCCATACTGACGATTTAACGTATGCTGCCCATTTATGTACTTCAAGGCCTCATGGTAAGAATACAATACAAACTCCTTTTGAATCAAATAAAGTCCGAATGGTGTAGTGTCTGTACAATAGCATAGAATTCCACATCATAAGTAGAATAATTCACCCTTGCACCACTTAACTTCTTGCTAAAGAATGCCACAGGTCTTCCTTCTTGGCTAAGCACTGCTCCTATGCCGACCCTAGAAGCATCACAGTGAACTTCAAAGACTTTGTTAAAATCTAGCAGAATAAGAATAGGAGCTTCAGAAAACTTTTTCTTAAGTAATTGAAAACTTTCTTCCGCTTCAGTGGTCCACTTAAATGGTCCTTTCTTCATGCAACTCGTAATTGGTGCTGCAAGTGAGTCGAAATCCCTGATGAAACGACTATAGAATGAGGCTAACCCATGAAAACTACGAACTTCATGAACATTTGTTGGACTTGGTCACTCAATGACAGCTTGCACTTTGGACTGGTCCACTTGAATTCCTTCTGAGGAGACTTCATATCCTAAAAATAGCACTCGATCTGTCATAAAGCTGCCCTTCTTTAAGTTAATGAACATTTTTTTCTCCCTTAAAGTAGTCAAGAGATCTTGTTGATGTTCAATATGTTTCTTTTCTGAAGTGCTATACACAAGAATATCATCAAAATATACCACAACAAACTTCCCAATATAAGGTTTCAGCACATGATTCATCACTCGCATAAAATTGCTTGGTGCATTTGACAAACCAAACGGCATAACCAACCATTCATACAGCCCCTCACGAGTTTTGAAAGCTGTCTTATATTCATCTCCAGGGCGAATTCTAATCTGGTGGTGTCCACTTTTGAGATCAATCTTTGAGTACACTTTGGCTCCCGAAAGATGATCTAGCATGTCTTCTTGCCGAGGGATAGGAAATCTGTATTTCAGAGTAATTTGGTTGATGGCTCTACTATAAGTACACATTCTCCAACTCCCATCTTTCTTTGGTACCAATAAAGCTGGTACAGCACTTGGACTCATACTTACACGCACATAGCCCATCTCCAATAACTCTGAAACCTGCCTATTAAGCTCATCATGCTCTTTAGGACTCATTCGGTAATGTGGCTTATTAGGTAAAGTATCTCCGGGCACTAGATCAATGTGGTGTTGGATGTCCCTCATGGGAGGTAATTCATGGGGTAAATTTTGTGGCATAACATCAGCAAACTCCTCTAAAAGTAGATAAACAGTGGCTGGACAATTTGTTCCTGCAATTTTCTCTTTACCAATTAAAACATATACCAAGCCACTCTCCTCCAATTCCTCCTCAAAATTGGCCATAGAGAGTAAATTAACACCCTCCCCCAGTTTAGGTTTAGGTGTAACTTATTCCTCTTTAGATGGAACCAATATTATTTTTTTATCATCTTTGTAAAAAGTATTAAGTGTTTTTGAAGCCATCATGTTGCACTTTATTATCAAATTGCCAAGGTCCGCCAAACAAGACATGGCATGCATCCATTGCCACAACATCGCACCATACTTTATCAAAGTACCTACTACCAATAGATAAATTAACTAAGCGTCGTTTAGTGACGGATACCTCATTGCCATTCTTGAACCAGGAAAGTTTGTAAGGTTGAGGATGCGCTTCCGCCGAAAGCTTTAACTTCGTCACCGCTTCTTGAGAGATGATGTTTTCACAGCTTCCGCTATCTATAATCAGCTTGCAAACATGACCCCCAATGGTACAAGTAGTTTGGAAAATATTATGTTGCAGCCAATCCTCAGGATCTTTGTGTCGTGGTGCTATAAAGGCCTTTCGCATCACAAGAAAAAGCCCCGTGTCTCCTCTCACTACATCCTCATCATCACCATAAATAGGTTCTTCTTCTCCACATTCTTCCATAAGAAGATGCTTTCCTTCAGGACTATTTGCTTTTCGACATTCCACCGACTTGTGTCCAGGTGCTCCACATTTAAAGTATTTAATTGCTCCTCCATTAGGCTGTAATTTAGCAACACTTGCTCCACCACCTGGCTGTGATTGAGGGGCTGCATTGCTGCCACTTTGAGATTGTCCCCTAAAAATTGTTGCTCGATTAGAATTAACCTGATTATTTGGTGCTCTGTGTGTCCCTCTTGCTTGCTGAATTTTTGTGGCTTTGGCACGTTGATATGCTTGAGAAACATTCCAAATAACTGCTCAGTACAACTTGGAAGAACCTCCACAAGGAAAGCCTTGCGAAACTTCCAGCCTTCGCTCATGCATTCGAACACCCTCTCTTCTTAGGGACCAAGTTCCACGGAGTTATACGAGTTTGAAACTCTCTCTCAACACAAGCTCTCTTTGGGATGCAAAGGAAATTATGAAGAAAGCGACTCTACCGGGCGGTCTTCACTTCACTTGCGACTGCCCGTATTGACCCTCAGCAATTGGTCTTCAGTCTCGATCAGCGAATTCAAAAGACCCAAAACTCTTATATTATGTCGCGAACAGAAACCTTACGTTGTTCAGCCCGGCTCAGCATTAGCATTTCCTAGAGGGAGGGGAGTGCATATGGGGGACCTGGTGCTCTGCCTGGCTCAGCGCCTTTCACAATGGTCTACTGCTTTGGCTCCACTAATGCCCTTTAGCCCCCCATTCTACCACAATCAGGACTGGGTTTGCTGCTCAGCTGTGTCACCCCGTGGAAAAAGAAATAGAGTACGTATCAATAGCACTTCCTGAGAGAGGAAAGACACTGGTCCCGCGAATAAGTCACCCCACTACCGAAGTAGAGACCGGCCCGTTCCAATTCTGTGACATCTTGATGATCCAAGTGATGAAATTCACCATTATTCCACCTACCAAGTTAGAGGGAGACATATAGCCTTTATGGTGACTTTCTGAATTGCTTTCTCCCTGGAGCAGCCAATCTGACCTAACCCGGATCATTATTTGATCCGAACTTTGCATCATCCCTAACCTTGCATCACTTGGATCAGCTGTGTCGGTAACTAGTCTGTGGCGTGGCCTTTCAAGTGGTCTCAATGAGCATGGGATGCTAGCCTTCGCGATGGCGGATGTCCTCTCCATCTGCGTGTTTCAAATAAACATGTTACCAAACTCACGTTATCATATTCTGTTTAAAATTTTGTTGGATCTAGATTTTCTTTTATCACAATCATATGCATGACCTGATAGGATAGAGTTGGACTGGAGTGATAATCACGAGAAAAATCTATAGATATATATATATATATTTTCAAACCAACAAAAAGGTTACCTAAGTTTAGAACCATGCATCTAAATTTTGTTACCCTCCATCTAAAATGGTGGTTTACTATTAATTGTGTTCGGTTTGTATTATGTCTCCTGCAAACAAAGATGGTGGTTACATTTTCCAGGTGTAGATGCTACTTTAACCTGCAAGTAGATAGGGCTAGAAAATGAACCCATTTGGGAGATTAGAACTTTTGAAAAGACCGTCCTGATTTATAAGCCAAATGGCCCTCAGATGGAGCTAGCAGTTTCCGAACTTTAAGGGATCACCTCCTGTCCTAGTGCTTGTTTTCTGTAGTCAATTTCAGTGCCTGTTAACTGCGGAAGGTAGAAGATTTAACATGCGCTTGTTGGAGAGAACGGATGCCTTAAGGATCGTTATTGTCCAAATCTTAGTTTCTCTAAGTGCAGGTTAACTGATGTTAAGCCCAGGATTTTTGGATAATATATATATATATATATATATATATATATATATATATATGTTATCATATTTCTAATTATTAATATGATAAAGAGGCTAAAGCGAATCTTCTTGTTTTTTTATGTTCCCTATTTTATTGGCAATGTAGTTTAACTTGTTCTTGTTAATAATGATTGTTAAATTATAAGACTTTTTGAAGTTGACTTGTCTTCCTTTTATTTCATTTTTGGTGTCTGGATTCAGGCAAATTCAATTTTTGTTTAATCTGTTTAGAGGCCTAGCTAATACTTAATCTGTTCTTTGTTATATTAATAGATTGGAAATAACAATCACATCTTTTGCTCGGGGTGCCAAAACCCCTATTGTTACTTATGTAAAAAGATCGTGAGGCGCGGTTCTCAACATTATGGCTCTAAGGGCTGCAAACAGTACTCGGTGGGATAGCTCGGACTACAACAAGCGGACTTTTTCTAATGATTCCTTTGTTGATATTTATGTTAATGACTCCTTTGTTGATATTTATGTTAATAATGTTATTTACTTCATGGTCATTTAGTTTCAATTGTTGTATTGGAAATGTTGGAATACTCATATTTTACTGTTTTATCTGACAATTGTGTCCTTTGTGAAAGGTTGTGGCCCTTGTGGGGTAGCTTCGGGATATCACAACCAGACTTTTTCTAATGACTCTTTGTTGATATCTATGTTAATGGACTCCCTTGTTAATATCTATGTTAATGTTGTTATTTACTTCATGGTCTTTTAGTTTCAATTGTTGTATTGGAAGTGTTGACAACTTTTGTTTTACTGTTTTATCCGACAATTGTGTCTTTGGTGACAGGTTGTGTTATTAGTATGAACTTTTGTGTCCTTTGACAATTGATGTCTTAAGAATAAACTTATTAATAACACTAATGTAATTTAAAATTTTATTTAATTACTTTTTATTTTAACTTATTTAAGTCATTATTAAATTAATAAAAATGTATACATATAGAAAATAATCTAATTAGAATGATCATTTAGATATAACTATTAATATGATTTATATGAGTGACGGGTCTTAATCATCTTTCTCTCTAGCTATTAAAGTATGAGAAGTGTTTTATATTAAGAAGTTGATAACTTTTAAGTGGTTTAGTGGGTTTAGTTTTTATTTTATAAGTCACCTAATTTGTTTATTTAAAATTTTAATAACTACTTTAAAAGTCTATGTAAATATTATAAATCCTATTGACTTTAATAAGAAGATTTATAGATATAAAAAGAAAGAAAACTTGATGATGCCAGCAAATTGAAATTAAAAGTTGGCAACACCTCAAAATGATAATTCCAACAATTTAATAACAACCTTTATCCACTTTAAAAAAATATATTATAAAAAGAAGTATAGTATCAGTAGGTAATAGACTTGAAAATATAATAATATTTTCAAAGTTATTATTTCTTTTCTGAAATTATAAAATTTGGGACTCTCTAGGCATTTATAGAGAAAGGACCATTGGCAATAGGAATTTTAACCACTAATGCCTTTTGGAAGTTACCATGGTGGAATGTTAATGTATATTTAATGTATATAATTTTGTAAAACAATTTTAATAAAAACGAAAAGTTATGTTTATTTCTCCAATTAAAATTAAAAAATTGTTTTAAATGTATAAATTGATAGCATGTTGAAATATATATGTATGGGGAGAGAAGAACATAGAAACTGTGGAAATCGTTTCAAATGATGAATCCAACAATTATAATAGCAACTTTTTACCATTCCATCATCACCTAAAAAACTAATTATGATATAAAGAAGTATATCAATTCCGAAAGAATTCTGTAGGCAGTGACTTGAAAATAGAGCAACATTTTTGCAAAGTCCTCTTTTATTTTATTTCCTAAAATCTTTAAATCGGGGGCTATATAGACGACAAACATTTTAACTACCGTATTAACGTATAGACTTGAAAATAGAATAACATTTTTGTAGACCTTTTTAAAATTTTTTCCCCCTAAAATCTTAAAATACGGGACTTTGTAGCCATATATAGTTTTTTACCCCTAAAATCTTAAAATATGGGACTTTGTAGCCATATAAAGATGACAAACATCTTAACGGCTGAATATTACCATATAAATGTATATAATTTTGTATAACTATTTTAATAGAAACATTTATTTCTTATATTAAAATTGGGGATAACGTAATGATCTGAAATTTCTAATAAAATTTCTCAATTCTTTCAAATACAAATACATCACTATTCACCAAGATCATAAAAATAATAGCCTTTTATTGATACAAAAATCAATTTTTTTCAAATAAATATACAATATCTCCAAATAAATAAAATAAAACCCGCAATACAGCTCCTCTCTAAACCCGCAACTAGAAATCCTCAAGCATCCTCTGTACCTGAAACTAGAAGGGAGTGAGACGAGAGAAGTCCCGGTAGGAAAAACCATAACTAGAATTGTAAGGAGGTTTCATGAAAATTATCTTCACAAAATATAGATATACTTTTGAATAAAAATATATACAATTTTAGCAAAATAACAATTACAAAATATTTGAGATAAAATCACTTGAACAATTCAAGTTACAAAGAACCCTGCACTGAAAAATAATTACTCTTCACTAGATCATCCGAGCCTCAAAGCTCCGGCCCTCGGTGAACTTCGGTTTTCTCTGTTCTATCTAACAGTCTCGGCCCTCTCTCTCTCTCTTCTCAAATATCTTCATCTGTTTCCTTACCAAAGTCACAAAAACAGATTCTAAGGCAATCCTATCGACACTATACAAATATCAATTCAACTGCAAACTTATCACCAAGTGAGCCCCGCCAACACCTTCCTATAGTTAGCTTTTCAGTCTATATACAACCAATACAATCTCACTCTAAACAAAGCGCACGTGAATAATAGCCAAAGTCAAAAAAAAATTTGCCAAACAAATCTCCAAATGGATCCCACCACCAACATCACAATTTCTTTCTCTTTTCTTTAATTTTGGCAGCATACTCTTTCTTCACCATTTTATCAGATATATATATATATATATATATATATATATAAAATACGTAACAAACCAAATCAATCCATTAAATATCTCTTTAATGGGACCCATCAAATCACATTATCACTACCTTTATCTGCGCGCTCACTTTCCTTTTATATAAATATATAAATATATATATATATATATATATGTAACAAAACTAAATCATACTAACGAAAACATTTCCTAGTAGAACTATTTCTCCATCTGACATTGCATATATGTGTGTGTGTCTATATATATATATATAAATGTAACAAAACTAAATCATTGGATTGTTGAGTCTAACCTTATTAATTTTTCGTGTCAGCTACCACAACATTTTTCATGTTACGGTATCTCACATCATCTGGGATAAGGATTTTTTGGATCGTGTTTTACCATTTTTGATGTTTTCGATGTGACAACTTGGTTTTTTAAGATTTAATTAATATTTATTTCATTATTTTTATTTGTCAAGGATTAATTATTTAATTATTATTGGTGACTTAGTTTCGAATATGTTGTGAATTGATTTTGAGTTAAAGGAGATTTAAGAGCATCTCTAACCGTTGTGTATATATATTTTTTTTGTGTAAATTTGATGTGTTATGATGTATTTACACAAAAAATTTGAATTATTTAATTTGAGTTCTAACTATTGTTTTATACCTTTTGTGTAAAAATATATCTCCCAATAATAACTAGTCATGTGTAATGCCAGGACCCCATATAGCTTTTACAAACTTCCTTAATATATGGTTGATTCTTTAATGGAATGAGAAAGTGGGATGAGAAAGGAAATATGTTGATCTTGCAGTGTAAAAGGGTTGTGTAAAATACACAATCCTTTTACACATTGGTGATGTGGTAATGTATCTTAAAAGACTGCTGGAGATGAAAAAAATTTACACATCATAAATGGCAGTTTATATTTTACACAAAAAAAAATATTTTAACAGACTGTTGAAGATGCTTTAATGGGTTTAATGTTTATCACAAGGTATATATATATATATATATATATATATATATATTGTGTTTGTTGGAAAAAAATAAAATGGTAATGTATTGCGGATCCCACTAGGAGATGTTTAAGTGAATTTAATTTAGTTTTATTACATTTATATATATACAATGTCAGATGGAGATAAAAAGAATGTCAGTTGGTGACTGAAATTGGTGAGAAAAGTTATGATAATGTGATTTGGTGAGTCCCACTAAAGGGATATTTAATGGATTGATTTAGTTTGTTATATATATACATACATATATACACATATATGGCCGAAATTAGAAACAAAAAATAAAAAGAGAAATTGTGATAGAGTAGATTGCCGAAATTATAAAATAAAAAATAAAAAGAGAAATTGTGATGTTGGTGGCGGGATCCACTTGGATATTTGTTTAGCAAAATTTTTTTTTGACTTTGACTATTACTCACATGGGCTTTGTTTGGGTGAGATTGTATTATTTGATACAAAAATCAAATTTTCTCAAATAAATATACAATATCTCCAAATAAATAAAATAAATCCCGCAATATAGCTCCTCTCTAAACCGCAACTAGAAATCCTCAAACATCTTCGGTACCTGAAATTGAAATGGGGTGAGATGGGGCAAGTCCTAGTAACAAAAACCTTAACAAAATTTTTTTAAGAAGGTTTCATGAAAATTAGCTTCACAAAATATAAATATATTTTTGAACAAAAATACATAAATGTAATTTTAGCAAAATAACAATCACAAAATATTTGAAATAAAATCACCCCAAACAATTCAAGATATAAAGAACCTTACACCGTAAAATAATTACTCTTCACTGAATCATCCAAGCCTCAAAGCTCCGGCCCTCTATGAACTCGGCCTCCCTCTGTGAACTCTATGTTCTCTCTAACAGTCTCGGCCCTCTCCCTCTCCCTCTCCCTCTCCCTCCTCAAATATCTTCATCTGTTTCCTTACCACAGTAACAAAAACAGATACCAATTTATATAATGGCAATCCTACCAACACTATACAAATATCAATATAATTGCAAACTTATCACTAAGTGGGCCCGCCACCACCTTCGTATCCTTACCTTTTCAGTCTATATACAAAGAATACAATCTCACCCCAAACAAATATCAATTCAATTGCAAACTTATCACTAAGTAGGCCCCACCACCACCTTCATATCCTTATCTTTTCGGTCTATGTACAAAGAATACAATCTCACCCCCCAAATAAATTTAAGTGAGTCTCGCCACCAACATCACAATTTCTTTCTACTTTATTTTATTTTATTTTATTTTTTATTTTGACAGCCTGCTCTTTCTTCACCATTCTATCATACATATATATATATACATATATACATATATATATACATATATACATATATATATATATATATATATATATATATAACAAACCAAACCAACCCATTATATATCTCTTTAGTGATGCATTCCTTGTGCTAAACATCAAACCCATTAAATCTCCTTTAACCCAAAATCAATTCACAACATATCCGAAACTAAGTCACCAACAATAATCAAATAATCAATTCTTGACAAATAAAAATGATGAAATAAATATAAATTAAATTTTAAAAATTTTGATTGTCCCGAAAAGAAAGTAAAGAAAGAGAGAGGAACCATAATTCTAACAGAGGAGTGCGGCTTTGGCCCAATGGTAGGGCTTCTCATGTTCATATAGCATTTCGACGCCCACCCCCATCATTCCCTTATCCTATATTAACATATCTAACAATTGCCAGGATAAAAAAAAAAAAAAAAAAATCTAATAGCAGCTTTTATCACATAAAAAACTAATTATTATATAAAAAAAGTATAGCAATTGAGAAGAGAAGATAACATGGATTTTTTTATTTTATTTTATTTTATTTATTTTCTTGTGAAATCTTAAAATATAGGATTCTCTATGTATATATAGATGATAGACAACTCTTGACAAGAGGCATTTTAACGATTGATGCCTTTTGAAAATTATCGTTAATGTATATAATTTTGAGAAGAGCGTCTATTGATTTTTTTTTTTTTTGGCCTTTTCAAAGAGGTGTTAACGAAAAATCACTTATTTTTCTTTTAATGAAAATAACTTTTTAAACTGTATATTATACCCAGTCAGCTTCAGCCTTGCGCTTGCAATTATAAAAATAGCTCTCCCACATTTTCAATACTAGTGCAACATCACATGGGCAAATAACTTTGTTGTGCATTTTTAGGCTGATAATGCTTTGTATAGTGTTGCCTTTTTTCATAAGTATATATTTGTGAATCCAATAATGTGAAGGTAATTATGTTTTGAGGAAAACCTAGATAAACCTTTTCTTCGTCATAATAGGAAAATGTTGACATTGTGAGTTTGAGTCAGAAGTATATACTGTCCAATAAGTTCGCTCTATGGGTGGTTTTTCAGTCGTTTTTGTTTTTGTTTTGCTAGATTTGCTCTTGTTTGGTTTGTTTCAGGCTACTGGGTGGATCTGTTATTTTGTCTCCGGTTAAATCTCAGATTTATATCGGTTTTTGTTGTCCTCGCCTTGATTTTCTCTTGTGCGAGGTTTGGGTGGTTTTTCCCCCTATCGGCGGCGCCTTGTGGATGCAGCCTTGAAGCTGTTGCCTTGATGATGGCCTGACCTTTGAGTCACTCCCGTTGCTTGTGATGTTTCTGTTTTTAACTATTTTTCATTTTTGGGATTTTTTTGATTTTTCAAGGACATTTTCGTCTTTTCTCGTTTGGCGTACCGAACACCGTAGAGTGTGCTGGTTGTGTTTGAGAGTTGATTGGGGCATTTCATTGAGTTCAGGACTCTTTGAAATGCAAGGGTTATCATTTCAACATTTTTCAGTTTTTCGGGCCGAACAGTCCCGAGTGGGACTCGCTACCGGACTTGTTGTGTACGGGAGTTGTGTCTTGGGTTCATTGCATATCATGTTTACTCATTTTGTACATAATTTTATATGGTGGTGTGCTTAAATGTATGGTCGTAGTAAATTATGTTTATACATATATATGTGGTGGTAGAAAATTCAAATAGGTGGGATTTTTCTTAGTGCCACTGAGCATTTTGTGACCATGAGACCAATTTTGGTCTCATTTCTCCTCTCTCCCCGGCAGTCCCTCTCTTCTTCTTCTTTTCTTTTCTTTTTCTTCTTCTATTCAAGCTTTCAAGGCTTGATTAAGCTCACACCCTTGGGAATTTGATAGAACATTGTGAAGCAAAATTGTTGAGCTTGTTGAAATCTTCAATTTGATAGGAGCCAAGCATCATTTTATCACTCTAGGATTTTGAAATTAGGGCTTGGTGCTGAGAAATTTGGGGATTTTCTCATTGTTGAGGTAGGGGTGTTCTAATACATGATTTCCTATGCTTTTTATCAGTTAATTCTTTAATTGCATGCTTAATTAATTTAAATTTTTGCAAAATGTTTAAATATTATGTTTGGAAGATGTGCGTATATGAAAGTTGATAAAATGTGTATGAGCATGCCTATGTGTAATGGAAATTGTAGGTTGTATACCTAGCTAACTTGAATTCTTGCAAGTTACTTATGTGTTGTCCATAGGAAATATGGGATTATGTGCTAGTTGTCAATTTGTGTAATAGCATGCACTTGTGGAATGGAAATTTCTCTTTATAAAATTAATATGCTAAATTAATGTTGAATGAAAGCATGAGGTAATTGTTTTAGAAATTCAACTTGCAAGCATGTGTGATGTTCTATAGTGGGATTAACAATTAGAAGCACGAGGCATTCATGCATCCATTAGAAAAGGAAAAAGGGAAAAATGTTTTAAAAACAAGTGAAAGGATTTTGGGAAAATTGTTTTTGAAAAGTGTTGCGAAAACCGGACGCCTAGGAGGCGCCTAGTGGTCCGTGTTGTTAGTGTAGTCTAGAAGGGAGTAAAGTTGAGCTAACTAGGCCGGATTCGACGCCTTGGAGATGCCTTGTGGTCGTGGATAGTTAGTCAACCCTTCATTCGTGACACCTTGGAGGTGCCTTGGGTCGGATTACACTAACGGTTTGGAAGTTGAAGCGAGAATGTTTCGGAAAAATGGGGAGCGACATAAGCATGACATTGCACTTCATTGGCATACATGGCATGATTGTGACTTGGGTAGTATATGTGTTTATATCGGATGTTGTGGTCATGGTATACATTACCGGTGTAATATGATCCCGTTCTCTTATTTCCTATTCTATACGTGGACTCACGGGGTCATAAGAAGTGTGTCTTAGACACTTCTTACTGAGCTTAGCTCACCCCATTATTTTAACATTTTCAGGTTCGGGAAAAGAAGTGGCGGACGTCAATCCACCCCGGCCTTAGCTTGGAGTAGGAAAATGTCTCTTATTGCTATCTTTTATATTTGGGCTTAATTTTGTATAATGTTGACTCAAAATGTATTATTTTGCAACATGTGAAATATTTAGATACATTTTGTATATGGCCATTGGAGAAATGTAATTATGTTTAATTACACTAAATTATTTAGTGTATTTTATGTATCGTGTTGTAAATTATGTTACCATTGTTGTTGTTGTTAATGTATTAGATGATAAAACGTGTTTAAATATGTACGTGAGTGTAGTGGCGTGGGTGGTTGGTTATCAAATGTTGGTGTATTTTGGTTTTCTTTGGACAATGAGTAATTGAGTGTGGAAAACCCAAACCAGTCGACGTAAAATCCCATACGTTGACCGGATGACCTGAACCAGTCAACGTGAATTTCCCACACGTCGACCGGTATCTTGGCAGTGAGCATATTCACTATACAAGTCTTGAACCAGTCGACGTGTTGCCTTCCATACGTCGACTGGTATCCTGGCAGTGGGCTTTTCCACTGTACACGTCCCAAACCAGTTGACGTGTGACTCCCCATACATCGACCGGTTTTTGTGTAATAAACATTTGTGACTTATTTTCCTATTTTGCCCTTGACCACTCACTCAAGTGTATTGTTACACACTATAAGGTCTAGTAAAATACAATAATTATATTTTAACCATGGGAATGACTATATTGCCCCAGACTTTACGTTATTTATTATGTGATACAAGTAAATGCCTATTTTGCCCTTTGAGTCTCAGACCATTAGAATTGTGATAAATGACCATCTTGTTCTTGTTGGACTTTAATATACAAATTTAACGTGAAAAGACCATATTACCATTGGATGATTTTGGGTCAAGTAGGGACCCGTTTAATGATCTGAATCCAATGGATTTGGGTCGTTACAAATTTGATATCAGAGCTTTAGGTTCGAAAACCTAAGGACGACGGGTAGGGTTGACCTAAGTGAGACTTGAGTTGATTTGGAAGTTTTGACTGTTAAAGTGTTTAATGTTTTGAGAAACATGCTTATTTGCTACTAGTTTATATGTTTCAGTTTTGAAGGCATGCCTATTTGCTAATTGCTTACGTGATTAAATGTTAAATGTTGTGTTACATGGCCATGTATGTGAAGTAGTTATATAATCTAACTATGAAAATGAAATGTAAATGTATTTGAAAGCATGTTATACGTGATAAGATGACAAGTAATGGGGAGTATGGTGACGAAAAGTGGTAGGCACGGTGTGTGCAATTTTAATTGAAATGTTAAAGTAGCAACTGGTGAGCATGGTATGTACAAACGTGTTTGTATGGTATTGTGACGATTATTTAGGCATGATTTATGCAATTATTTTCTTATAGAAGATGGGGTGTTTAAATTTTTTTATAAAGGAACATGATTGTATCATGGTATGGGATATGATATTTACATGTATATGTATTCTTATATGTATATGTAGTCGAGCATGGGATGGTTGTGTGAGTTTTCACCTGAGTAGGTAAGGAGCTTGGTCGCACTAGGATTGTTGGGTGCCAGTTCTTATCCAATGGATTGCTTAGTCTTTTAGCTCGTGGATTAAGCCATCCAGTGTGGGGTCCTCCTGATTTTCTTGTTCCATTTGCGCAATGTTTAGAGCACGACTTCAGAATGGGTTCATATTTCATGGCACAGTGACTATGTTGTGGTGAGTTTCATGCGTCGGTGTATGGGTTCTTGTGACC